GAGACCACCGGGACTGATGCAGCTGCCCAGGTAAACAAATTTATCTACTACCTCAATCGGTTCATCCGTAAGCACGAGGCTAGGGTTCGAGCCCACCCAATCTTGCAGTAGCACTTTACACTTTGCAGGTGTGAAGCGCATACCAAACCGCGAGGCAGAATTATTTGGATTATTTAATATCGTTTGCATTACAACGGGATCAGATCCCAGAAGAGCTATGTCGGCTGCGTACTCGATATCTATGAGCGGAGGCCCAGGGAGCACTTCGACCCCACAGGCAGTAGAGGCTGGTAGTGCGTCTTCCATGATCGTGTCAATGACGAAGTTGAAGAGGAAAGGTGAAAGAGGACAGCCCTGTCGGACACCACTTGATGTGGTGATGATGTGAACTGCTTAAGTCCCCACCGACTGTAGCTCCGACACCATGAAAGAAAAGTTTATGACACCCTGAATGCCCACTTGCAGCAAGCTAAAAGCTCAGATATCGTTGTGATCACATGGTGTTTTCCAACGACATGCCGGATACATTTCCACGTTACTGATGGTGCGGATCTATAACTGACTGCTGCTCATTTAAGAGCACATTTGTGGATTCCGACAACACGCTCGTACGGAGTCGCCTCTCCCTTCCTTTCCCAGGGCTGCGTAAAGTGTGGAAAGATCGCTCAGCAAGTGAGAGACTGACAAATTAGGATGCTGGACGAAGTTACCAGAATTATCTTATGAAGTCCCTCCCAATTATTCCACCGTTAGATGTGAACTCATACTGGGACGAGACCACCACCTCTTTGCACAGTGCTTGGAGTTTTGCCTTTGCCACGGCACTACTTGCCGGCTCAGTCACTGGATATCGGAAGAAACATTTGTAGTGCTTATCCTAACCGGCCCCGAGAATAACTTGACCCGAAAAAATTATCAGAGGACAAGTGAAAGTAAACGGGCGAGTCGTCCGTGAAGTCGGATTGTCACCGACAGCCAGGAAAATGGAAGAAGCCCGGAAAGCCAGGAAGCCCAGGAAGACCTGGGGAGCATGATATCGGTCCCCAGAAGCAATCTGTGAGCGAATCTATCAAAGATCAGAATAGAGTGACCGTTCGGCCGAATATTTCGAACAACGGGTATCGTGATCACCAGCTGCCACTCGTCTGAATCCTGGTTGACGTAGAACCTTGGATGGTGACCGTGGAGACCCTACGGCGTCGGTGGTTTATGATAACATATATTCTCCCAAGCGCCACAGAGCTTTTGGTCCGTATGAACTCCCACTGACATCGTTCAAATATGAAGGTGAAGCTCTCAAGCAACGCTTGTCTGACCTGTTTGCTTGCATTTGGGAAAGGAGTCTGTCCCCGGACA